CCAGCCATATTCGTACCTCCGACGTGTTCAATATCAAGCATTTGGTGCCATTTCATGGTGATAATTCTGGTGATGATGATGAAGCTCCTTTCCAGTCAAATTCGAGGGCGAATTTTTCCCACCCTGAGGAGAATGATGAAGTGCACAAGGGATTAGAGTTCATGGCAAAATGGGACCATCACAAGGCAAAAGTTGGCAAAAGGGGCAAATGATTTCATGATGACTTTGAGTTTGCTCGTTTTTGACAAATCACTAATCTAATTTGATTGGAGCCGAGCCAAGGAATAAAACTCAAAGCCTTCGGCCCTGACGCAAGACCAATTTCGGGCAAAATCCATCATTTAGGCCCTCGTTTAATCATTTTTGCTATTTATGGTAATTTTTATTTTTGCAATATCTCTTTCCATGAAATTCGGATTTAGATTCCGTTTGTTGGAGGATGATCTCGAAGATAAGTATTTTCCATTTTAGTAATTATCTCATATTTTCCATTTTTGGAAAAAAATATCTTTTATTTTATTTTATTTTATTTTCCGGATTTTCCTAGGTTTTTTCTATTTAATCAGTTGTAAGCCCTTAGAGGCAGTAGTTCTGGAATTCAATAAAATCTTCCTTGAGAGTTTTCTCAATTTGTGATTGTTCATCTTCCCTATAATATTTCCGCTACGTCAGTATTGGAGCAACTTTGCACCAAAAAATGGTGTAAAATGGTCCAATGGCGTTAGCATTGGAGTTGCCCTTAGTTCGGTCGAGACCAGGAAAGCTCCTTGTAAATGTCCGTTCTACCTTCTTGCAATCTCCTGCTGCCGTTGTATAGTTTTCTTAACAGCATTTTACGATGCATAAACAACAATACACAAAGCCACACTCCAGAAAAATTTTATAATAGATTCATATCCTTGACAAAAAAAAGAAAAAAAAAAGAAAAAAAAAAAAGAAAAAGACTATTCAAACTAGACATTCGAAATCTTTCAACTTGATTATCAATGCACCTAACATCATCAACACTAGGAAAAGAAAAATAAAAATAAAATTCATTTTAATAAAAAGAATTAAAGATTGCTTCATTTTTGCAAAGTTGCCTGCAGAAAGGCTAAAAAACAAAATTTAACTTTAAATGCAAGGTATATGCGTTTCAAAACCTCAAGGAATAGGGTAAAATACTTTGCTGATACTTTGCTGACGTTACCTTTCACATACACATAATTCAAGTCATAATTTATTCCCTCCCGAGGTTGCTGCCCTGTGCTCTGCTTGCTTCAGACTCAACTCTCGTATGATCTGCAAGTAATATATAAACCAGCGTGCCAAAGTGTACCGTGTTAGAATTCAAAAATGTTTCAATGAAAAGCACATCTAAAGAAAAAGGAGCAACTGTAGGCAATAGATATCAAGAACCCTTATTCTAATTACGAGGGAGAAGATGAGAAAAAGGACTATTTGGTAATCTTAAAGAGTGTCAATGATATTAATATAGCTGGGGAAGAAGCAAGGAGATAGTACCGACATTAACACTGCTATTGATATAACATTATACCTATCAATCATTCATCAAGATGTCGGGGGGAGAAATAGATAATCAAATTAATTCTGCTTATTGTAAGCATAAATAATTTTCTTTTTTTATAGACACTCATTTGAATATTCAAAATTACAATACTCAAAGACAAGTTTCGCTTCTTGTGAGACTGTTAACAAGGTTACAATTTGAAGCTTTACGGATATTTATCGTGTTTGAAAACCAGATGTCTGGGTGAAAAGTGGAAGGGGAAACGAGAGAAATTAACGATTAGTATAGACAATTAAATAAAAGATTAACTCAAAAAGCAAGCAAAATTAATCTTTTATACATAAGTAGACAAGCTATGATGCACCAACACAAACACATGTCTGCACGATACATGTCGAATACACCGACACGTGATTTTTTAAAAAGTACCGACACGACACGTCGTCGACACGTTGATTAAATTGTTTAAAAATTTTCATTTATATAATATAAATTTAGTTTTATACTTTTTATTTATTTATTTTATTTTATTTTTGTTGAAATTTTTTAAATATGAGTACCTATTTGTTATTGACTAATAATTTTGAATTAAAAATATATAATATTTTAAGTA